TATTTTTCTTTGAAGCACAGCAATTTTCTTACTAATCACTAACACTACCCGCCAACGAACGAATCAGTACTTATTTTTGTCATTTTTTTTTTACATATTCTGCCTCTATGAATGTTCATTTAATATTTTTAAAATAATATTTAATAAGAACAGTATATTTTTCTATAAGTTTACTACATTCTCAAATATACCAAAAACACAACTTTATTTTTCATACTAAAAAATCATTAGTTATTACTTATTACTTATTAGTTAAATTAACGTATTTTTCAATGTAGACAATTTCCAATTATTAATGTATTCAAAGCATAGTTATTTAATTTGCGTTTTTTACGTATTGATAAAATCCAGAATGTTTAGAAAATTCTCCTAAATCAAAAAATGTTTAATATAAGTGTTTTGTACAAATTTAAAATCTACGAAAAAAAATCGAATATAATGATGCGGTTAACTATTCCTTTGTATTTTTTTTTTAGCTTTTGCCAATTATTATTAACGAATATACACGAAAATTCAAAAAAATATTCTTCTCTCATACCAACTGGACAACGTTTTATTATTTTATTATTTTAAAACACGTTTAACCGAATTTTTATTGTAATCATTTTTCGTTAACGATGGTTTATCGTTTAATAATTAACTGATAAATCCCACCGCACATTCATAATATTTAAAAACTTTTTTCTTAGGGAATAAATATTTAAAAATCAGCCAAGTATGTAGGTTCTCCATTGAAAATGTTGTAAAAAAGTAATTATAAATATTGCCCAAAAGGTTATTATTTTATTACTAGATAATTGAAGTGTGCAAATAAATGAATAAAAAACTTTTTTTTAATCGTGGTAAATTTGTATAACGATGAATATAATGCAACTGATATATTTCGATTTTAATAATAGTGTATAATAAACAGTACGATGTGTAATACGGTAGACAAACAATTTAACGAAATAATACTAAATTGATACGCAGAAAATATTCATTCAATTACCATTATAATATTGACAATGAGTATACGACATTATTGACATTATTGATTTGTATTCGCACCATTATATTTATACATTCATTTAGAAAGAAAGTAATAAAACAATGGGAAATCGCATTACATAAGTAGGTACCTATTTTCAATGTTATTCTGTTTATTTTAAATAATGCAAGTACGATGCACCATGCACATCATATTCAAGCATATAACATATATATTAAAATATTAAGGTTGAATAAATATGTAGAATATATTTCACAATATAGTTGAAATGTTAAGAAGACACTGTAAACTTGGTGCATAGGTATACATATACTTTTTCTCTATGCTCAACGGTACTCTTGACGCTCCTCACTTACTGGACATTATCTCTTTCCGCATTTATTTTCCTCACACTCCACTCGAAACCACTCCCTCTTCTCCATTCTAACGTACCCCACGTGTTAGGGCCACAATCAACTTCTCTATAGAATATTACATCGTCCCAACCATATTTAACCCGATCTCTTCTATTTCGCTGTAATTTACTAGCTGTTTTACTCACTATTGTTTCTTATAACCACTGCCCTCGGGTCGTTTATATATTTAAATAAATATTAAACTTGAAAGGAAGAACTATTTCTGTGTTAGCATGTACATTGGTTTTTGTTATTTAAATGTTTAATAACTTAAAAAACAACTTAAATAATATACTTAATCACATAAAGAAATTAAAAAGGTAAAAAAAAAACCAACACGCATAGATACACAGAAAACGTTATTACCTACAAATAAGACAATCGACCAATTCGCTCTAATATTAAAACCAACATTTATTTATTGTTCTTTCGAATACAAATTTGCAATACTGTGTGTATATGAGATAGATATAACAATTATAATGCACGTGCAGCGTCTTTTAAACGGATAACAATGGATTAAGTTACATAAGTAGTATACTTTTTTCAGTAGGTAGTATAGTATTACATTTTCTTATATTCAACGAACATTATTTTTCAACGATACGCTATAAAAACTTCTGTTGAAATCTCCGGAAAATAAATGAAATTGTTAGTTTTATTTTACGACCGTTCGATATTATATGACGTCAGCTTAAACCCATTGAATTTCCATGCATCCTACGCATAACCATAAATAATTACTTATTTTTTTATATTATTACTATTAAGACAAACTAAATTTAAAAAATATATAATTTTAATTTTAATTGATGGTGTTTCGTTAGTCGGCTAAAACTAACGACCGCTCTATATATTGATATAGTATAACATTGTTATTTCCATTATCTATTGTTTTATAGACGAAAACAAATAGATGAAATATAGGCATATTTCCCAAAAAAAATGGACATGATACGTTATACTGAATCAAATTGGATATTTCTACACTGAAATAAAAACTACATACCTAATGTCCTTGAATATTCGTATTGAAACTTTTACGATTGATATTCATAACATATCTATTATGTCTGTTATTCTAATCATGAAATACGTAATTTTATAAAATTTCGCGTTGTTATGAGTTTCTACAATTTCCGATAAATATATATACATATATATTTATATATACGATGTTAAACAATTCAGACAAAACGGTCATCATCTCGGAAAATATTAACTTTTTTCGGAATTTGTTTTTTTAAATAATTCAAGATACAAGCAATTCTAATCTATTACATACATTTTTTTTTAATTCTTAATTTTCTTGGAGGTGCAGTGAAACTTTGATGTTTGAATAGGAAAATGTATTAAAAATTTCATAAATAAAAAGTCTCAGCTTGGATAAATTTTGGTGTGAAATTTTGAATTTCCTCGAATCCATTGACAAAATATTTCAAAACTAAGTTTGAATTTCGCATGTGGGGAAAAGTATAGTATTCAAACTCTACATGCTGCTCAGCCACTGAAATACTTCCCCGTTTATTTTTATCAATTGTGTATGTAGTTTTCATAAGTTTTCACGTTTATTTTAATTGCGGGTAAAAAGGTCCTCGTTAAAATTATTCAAATATATTATTACAATCGTCGAATATTACTTACCTATGATGAAATAAAATATCAGGTATAAAATTTTGTTGGAAATGTAAAATAAGATTTCATAACATGTTAACTGTAAAAAATGGTATAGCCAGAATTTATTAATGAGGTTTTGGGGTTGGAGGGTCTGAAGAGGGGATTATGGGAATGAGAGGTCTAAAACCTTCTCATTCTTACCTTACTAAAAAAAAAAAAATGTAGGGGATACAGCATTCCCATCCCCGGTTACATCAAAGACTAAAAAATAATGTGGATGTTGCCAATTTTTGTCAATTAGTAGTGTTAGTACATTATCACACTATAACGCAAAACTTTCTGGTTTCTGCTCCTTTATTTTAATGACTCGGAAAATCAATAACGATAATATTATAATAATTATTATTCACCGAGTCATCACAGTTTGGTGTTAATTCAACATGTGTAAAGGCTATACAGTTAATGATATTAAAACGTATTGAACTTTGTTCACAGTTCTTAACGAAGTAAATTGCTGTACCAAGCAAATGTTCGAAAATTAAAAAACCCAATATCAAGACGTATTTGGTAAAAATTATTAATTTTCTGAAACAGAATCAATCGAATATTACTAATTTCTTAATTAATTCAATTTGTATTTAAATATATATTAAAAAAAAAAAAAAAACTGATAAAGAGGACATGCGCACCGCACTGTTGTAGATGAGAAGTCGAGAAGGTAAAATATATAAAACTACATAATTTAACCTGTAAGGAATGAGAAACTCTTGCTAATGAAAAACTATTCGGAGTAAAATTTGGTTACACATGTTTTGAAAGGCACTAATAATTACGATTTTTGTCAAAATTTGGTATTAAAACTTATAAAAAACTACTCAATTTTTTTATTTTTTGACATCAAGTAAGTTTTTAATGAATCATTTGTTAAATTGTCAAAAATTTCTGTTTAATTTAATAATCGTACATTATTCAGTTTTCATTCTATGTTTTTTTCAATTTTTCCTAATTATTTATAAACCCATTTAGAAAATCACTAACTAAATTACAAATGCAACAAAAAAGGTCTTTTGTCATTTTTCAATTGAAGCAATATTTCTGATAGAAAACATCATGCGTAAAAATTGAAAAAAAATAAATAAATAACGCTTCGAATTTAAAAATAATTTTAATTTTTACAATACAAAGACGCTATGCTATGTATAGTTTATGTATAATCTAATTATTTACTCTTAATGGCCGAAACCTTTGTGTCGTACCAAAATCAATTTATCCGTGAATAGGTAGGTAGGTACAAATAGTATGATACGGGTTGAGTGTGAAATAAAATAAAAACTATTATTCCCACTGGTGCTTTTATCTATTTAAATAGTATAAAATATTTTAAAATTATTATGGATTATTTTACTCGCTGAAATTGAATTATTGTAGTCGCTCCAATAATCGTATTGTGTTTTTTAATAATTATTGATTATACTTGAATATTATAGTAATTTTTATATTTCAATAAATATTCTTAGTTACCGTAATATCTTAAAACGAATTTTGTTAAAAAAAAAAAAGAGGTATTAATCAGTAATACCGAAATTATTTTGATTTTAAAAATCAAATAACTTATAACTACAGAAAGTTAAAATCGAAAAATAATAATTTGTTATAACTGCAGCATTTCATGTTATATTTCTGATAGTAAATATCTCATGTCACTTCATGGATATTTTAATACTTTACCACCTAATAATTTTCAAACTATTTTTCTCGCTACTATAAGGCTCACGACTAGCGCTGGTTTACCTACATATACATTTCAAAATAAATAAAATTAGATTTCAACATATTTGTGCGTAGTTGATAGTAACCACAATAATATGACAAAAAACCGTGAACAACGGAACTTTGTCGCTATAGTCGAATTTTCCTAAAATTGGAATATTCTTGGCAGAACAATAAGTAACCGAATACTATTGTTATACCTTAAATAAGTATTTAATATTTGTAATAAACAATCAAATAAAATGTTGCACAACTAGCAGTTCCATCAATAATAACATATTTTAGTTGCTTCAAGTAAAATCGAATTAGTATCAGTGTTGCCATCAAAGTGCGTCACACCTTAATTCACAGTATTAATTAGCCATGTCACCCACATAGAGGTACCGCACTTTAAGCTATTGTTGCAGTCTAGTGAGAATCTCTAGAGTGGGGGAACATGGGGAGCATATTTCCGAAATAAAAATAAAATATAAAATGCCATGTTTTCTATCTTACTAGTAGGCTGTACTTACTATAGTATTTATATTAGATATCATATTATATTTTATTCAAAGTTGAAAACTAACATTATTAAATCGAATGAGGTACAATGTATTTACTTTGTATATACCTATCTTTGTTAAAACTACTTAGTATATATTACAAAATAAACCGTTTACTCTTATTATACAGGTATTATAATTTTCCCTGTATAAAATTATCATAATAATGACAATTTATTCATTCCCGTACCTATAATATATATTTATAATTTTTCAAAATTAAACACACGTTCTATTCTATAATATATTTGCGGCCAATTTTCTCCTTATACTTTACACGATAGTGTTCATTATATTTAAAAATGAATTAGGCATATGAAAACGCGGTATTCGTAGTGTTGTTCTATCATTAGCAAAACAATTTGTATGTAAAAAGAATCATTCGAATTGTTGAAAAAAAATCTATTTCCTGGACAACTGCTGTAAACTCGTTGCGTACTTCTCGAATCCTGCCTGCCTGGACGTCAGTTTAGAATCATGGACACAAAAGCGTAACTGATTGAAGAAACATGTAAGCCGGTGTACCACAAAGAGGTCTTCTCGAACCAATCTTGTACTTACTATATACAGCTGACATTTCGACCAACAACTTTTTAATGACAGCCATGTTTGCCGATTTAACGGCAATAATGACAACTGTTGAAGACCAGCGGCTGTACCTGATTGGCTTTAAAAGTTAATCGACAACATTACCAATTGAACGAAACGTTAGAAGATTAAAATTAATAGCGAGTAATCGGTTAATGTAAACTACACTTTGCGTAAGATCGTTTATACATCAATAGTACTGGGTCAGCAGATCATCCCACAAAGCAGCTCGGCAAAATATCTAGGAATGCACTTTGATTCTCGACTTAACCGGAAACACCATTTTCGTCAAAAAAAAACTGCAAATTAAGAAGAAAAATGTAATCCTTAAATTAGCAGAAATTCTGTACTAGACCTTGTAAGCAAACGTCTACTGTACGTTATGATACTTAAACCAACATGGACTTATGAAATACAATTGATTTACAATTTAGACATTGAGATTATTCATCGCTGCCAGAACATCGCTCTCCGTACCACTGTCACAGCTTACCTGTTTAACTGAAATTATATATCTACTGAAATATGATGATCATCTCTGTTCAGGACGATATTACCAAGTTTGCTTACAAACATGATATAAAACTGGATCAACACACCAATCCAGCAATAATCCAAAAACTCAAATATTCTCAAGATACTAGGCTTCTTAAATACAGACTATGTGACTTGGTATTAAATTCTTAGATTAATACTGTTCTACTACACTAGAAGTGAGACTCCATACATATTTCTTTTTTTATTTTCCTTTTTTTTACATAAATGCACTATAAGTATTTATGTACACCTTTGAAATGTATTGTTAATGATCTTTTATCGTTGTAATAAAAATTAAAAACAAAAACTAGGTATATGTACTATCCAAAATACTATAAAACTCTACTAAAATAAGATTTTGTTAACGTCATACAATGTGTAATAATTAAATATTAAAACGAATTTAAAAATTACTTACCCGATATAATTTTTACTGATGTGATAGTAAACATTAAATAATGAATTCCAAAATTGTTCCAAAACCAGGCTGTCATTTTCTGAAAAAAAAACAATTTGAGTTTTAATAAAATAATTATTATATTTTAAGTGTAAAGATAGTCTTTTTTACAAGGTGGTACTTTTTAATTGACTACACATTTTGCTTTTTTTTCAATTCTTATCCTTTCATCGTATTTTAAAAAAATGTGGATCTAGTGAAAATGTTAATCTAGTAAAAATTGAAATCAAATGTGAACACATACATCGGTTTTTATTTTTGTTAATTTCTTCAGGGTTAATTTTGCTAATCAATTAAGAAAATCGAGTTCAGAAAGCCCACTCTATGAGTGTACAAAGTTTCCACTTTTTAAACGTATTTTGAACAATAAACTAAAATTATATAATTTTGGAGGAATTTGGTAACGTAAAGTATAGTATTTAATAAATACTATTTATATATGTTGAAATTTTAATAAATTAAATATCATGATTTGTGAACAGTTAATAAGGTTTTTTAAAAATTCCTAAAGTAATTATATTTTTGAAACTATAATATTGGCTCATATATAATACTTGCATTTAAATTAATAATGATAATTGTATTATATACAAAAATAATGTAAATATAATAATATTAATTATGTTACGATATCATATATTTGTATCATTAATAGATAACTCCTTGTCAACTTAATCAACAACCATAACTTTTAACAAATAATTAGTTACTAATAACTATTTATTAGTAATTATATTGTGCTAAATTGATTAATACAACCGAAACAAAGATATAAAACAGCTGAAAATAAGGTATAATAGGCAATCTAATCTCAGCTTTAGAACTTCAAACACAGAAGTCTGTTCTTTTCATCTTAAAAATAGACAGGCAGATCGAAAACTAAAAATCTAATGGAAAGGAATTTAATTAGAGAACTCTGTACAGTCTGCATATCTTGGCATCACGTTAAACCTATCCCTAACATATAAATACAATTGTGAGAAAACTAAACAAAAATTGCTACAAGGATCAATGTATTCCGGAATCTTACAGATTTTTAAGACGGCGAACTTGCATACATTACGAATACCTGCCTTATCACTTTGATTCTCTGTTGGAGAATTCTCCAGTTCTGTGTGAAGCAGGTCTTCCCACACAAAACAAATAGATACCTTACTGAACGAATCCTCCCTATTAATAACAGGCTGTCTCAAGAATATTTCACATAATATAATCTACAACATCGTTGGTATTGTTCCACCGAACATCCGCTGGAAAGTCCTAACAGAAGGAGAAAGGACCAAATCAATAACAGACATACAACACCCATTACACGGACAGAATATACCAAACTTCAGACTAAAGAAGGGGTTTCTTCAAAATGACAAAACCTCTACAAAAACATCCAAGAGAAGTCCGAAAAGAGAGGTGTAAACTCTCTCTCTTCATAGACAACAATAAACTGAAGATTAAAGCAGTGGAATTCCTGCTAGCAGGGGATGGACAAGACTAACCAATCTGGAGATTACTTAATAGACTCAGAGTAAGTGTGGGCAGATCTAAAAACAAAATTAAAGAAATGGGGTGTCCTTCAAAACAACTCCACAAGATATGAGTGCGGTATGGAACAGGATATGGAGCAATTACTGAAAGAATGGAAGATTTACAATTATCAACTCCAAATATCGAAGTGGCAAGATTTTGGTCAAGGAAAATCTAACAATAAAAATAATGAACATAAAAAAATTGACGATAATGTTAGCATAAAGTCATTTAATTTTTAAATTTAGCTAATTTTACTCATTTATTTATTTCATATTCGCTATATTGTTTTATTTTATTTTGTTTATTTATATATATGTAAACTCTGAATTATTGTATTTATTTATTTTATTATATTTTATCTATGTAATTATGAACTGTCACAATTTGTTTATATTAGTCTAGTTGGGTTGTATGACACGAAAAAAAAATAAAAATAACTTAATACAAATTTTAAAAAAATACATGTATTATAAACACAAAGATGTCATACAATATAGGATACATGATTTCCTAAACTAATGTTTAGAATATTGTTTTTATATATATATATATATATACATTATTACTCGGAGTAACGTTAAACTTATATTTCAGAAGTACAGGAAAAACGATATGTTCATTCTTGTATAAAATAACATTATTCAATTTTACTGAATAATGTTATGCATCATTTGAGAAAAATAACTAAAAAACTCTAAAATTAAATTTGATGTGGGTATATCCATATCAATATCCGATAATAAAATCATGACCTCGTTCTTACTTATATAGTGTATAAAAAATAATGAAAATATTTCAAGACGAAAATAAGAATAAAAACACGTATATAAATTATAAATCGATACTATTAGAACAGCATTGTATCGATGATGTAATACAAAAATCAACTTAAGGTATTTATATTCTAATATTTAATGAAAATTTATAATGATTTTTACTTTCGAAAATGAATTGTTAAAAAATGAATACCTCTTCTACAAACGTATATTTATATTTTTAGAGAATTCCTTTTAATATATGGTGTTATCAGTATAATGAAATAAATTATAAATTATGTGTGAATAAAAATAAACCAACGGTTGACTATATTTATTCAATACGTTTTAAAATTAACAATTAATTATGTTTGAACATTTTTAATTTTAATTTCTATAAAGCAATGAAAACTATACAAGTTAATAAACATTTTTTGATTCATAGCGAATAATGAAAAATCGTGAAATGTATTGGTTTAACAATATTTAGGGCATGCCAAGGGATATATAGGTTTCACTATGATGTGGGTAAGATTTTTTGTGGTTGGAAACAAATTTTCTACTATAAATCTTCCTCTGATATATCAAGTGTTGTAACTTTTCTGAAAGGTTATTTTATCTAGTTGGTGCGTTGAGATGGTTATTTTCTACGTGGTTTTTCAAACAATTAGGAAAAACCTGAAAGAAATGTTTAGGTAAAACGGTAAATATTTACGGTGCGCCGCTCCGGCGTTACCGATTTCATTATTTTAAAATTGTTTACGCGATGTTTTCTACCAGAAATAATACTCCAATCGAAAAATGACAAGATATTAATTTTATTTCTTATAATACAAATCCACTTATACAAACAATATTTTTTTAATAAGTATCTAAAGTATTTTTCATAATAATTATGAAATACCAAAAAACAAAATTTTGTTCAAATTACGGCAAAACGTATCATTGTTTTAAATTTTTACGAATTATATTTTCTAAGAAAAATATTTCTCCAATAGAAAAACAACAAAAGACCTTATTTGTTAAATTTGTATTCCAGTTGGTGAATAATTACGTAGAAATAACGGAAAAATTTACTAATAAAATGTTTTCATTATTTTAAATTTTGTTTTTTTAACGTAATTCAATATATGTATACAAATTTTCAAAACATTTTAGTAATTTCGAGTTAATCATAGACATTTAATTTTGCGATTTTTTGACGAAATTATTATTTTGTATGTACTTAGTGAATAAAACATCTAGAGTAAACAGAAATGTTTGAAAATTTAACAAGAGGTTCAATATAAGTCATAATTTTTGACAAAAAAAATAATTAATAAAATGTTATTTAGAAATGTAGAATTTTTTTTATAGGAATTTTAATATCAAATTTCGTAAAATATTTGTATCCAAACTTCACTTAGAATCGTTTTTAGTTTGTAGTGATTCTTTTTTACTTATAGATATATCCTAAGTTCTTCTCTACATCCTACATTCTTAATTTCGAATTTATAAGAATATGATTGGTCCACCAACCTTGTGAAATATATCCTTTGTTGTTTTTACTTAAATAATATATAGGTACCTACTTGTCTACTTGTATACATTTTCCTTAAAATTGTTATCATTTTTTTTTTTTTTTTTTTATAAGAATAATTATAAAAATATTTTATATTTTTATTTTAAACTATAAAGTTATTTAAGATGGTAATTATATGTATATAAAAAAAAAAAAAAACGTGTTTAGTCTGTAATGTATATTATATTTTACATTAAGATAAAGTCACTGAAATTGTTATGAAAATGTATTTTTTGAATTAACGATAATGCATAATAGAAAACTGTGATATACTAACACAAAATATGTAACACACTAACGGATTGACAAATTATATGTATTTTAAACGAAAATTTTACAACAATGTAATTCAATTAATTAATTTATGAGCCAGCAAAAAACGACAGAAATGGGTACTATCTCATACTCGTATAATTCAATAAATATCAACTATTAATTATTTAGT